TCCAGCAGGATCGGAGATCCTTTGTGTCGAACTTATTGATTTTTCTCATCATAATTCTGAATCTCCACTTAATTTTTTATAATGCTTCGAGTAACTGCTGCAAGTTTTAAAGCTTCTAAGAAAAAAAAATGCCTCACTAAATTTCTCTTCTAATCCATTTTTTGAGGGGGCTGTGCTTCAATAAATCGTTATAATGAAATTTTCTGTGAGTAAGATCATGCATGCTTTACTTCAGAATCACTGTCGGGAGATTGTCGAAGAACTACTATCCATTCCATTTCCTTGAATTGCAATAAATGTTTCTTCCATTTTTTCGAATACAATTCAGCAAAAAAAGGAAAACATTGTATCTTGAGTAAAGATGCCGCATGACGAGTGTTTGCTAAGCCTCATCCAGGAGGGAAATTGTGGAGGAGTAAATTACTTGACAGTCAAAGTTCACATGGGGAATTCCTGACAGCATAGCCTTAGTTTATGATAAATGTGGGTGGTCTTCAGTTTAAAAGTCAAGGAATATCATAAATTCTTGTGAGTAGGAAGCAATTAGTGTTGGAGCCCACATGCAGCTTGCGAGCAAAGTGCTGTACAGTACATGAAAAGTTCTCTTTAGAGACTTCATCAATGTATGTGATACTGTTTAGAAGAAAATGAAGACAATATTATTTTTTATCCTGCTTTCTGAGAGATTGACTTTATTCACAAGTGCCAAAAAAATTTTTCACCATTCCAAAAGGTCACAACATAGAAGGAAATCAGCTCAAAGATAAAACACTATAGTCATAATAACAACCACAGCACCCATCACTTTCCATACAACCTTTTTAAGCTAATATATTTTGGCTATGCTTGGCTGTGCCTGGTGCGCTAGCAATTATATTTCACAATTCCATTGTTGACAGAATCCTTTCCCAACTGTGCTCATGCTTCTTTCCTTTTACATCAACAAAGTGTGACATCCGTGATCCAAATTGGTTCCCATGCACATTCCTTGACATTGGCCTGCTAAAGCTATATATACAGGTGCATTTTATGTTGTGTTAAGTTTTACCTCACCAGACTCTGACCAAATGCCAGATCTATGCTGCTTTGCTCTGTAGCAACTGTATTGTATTTACTGTGTGAAGAATATAATAAAATCTACTTTGTATACTCTCATGGAGTAACTTTTGTGTTTCCTTCAGAAGTCATGGAAAACATCTTAAATCTCCAATTTAATTCCTTTAGCTATAAATAAGTATCCAACAACAACTGATCATTGTTGAGCATACTGATTGTCATCATAGTTTTTGGATAACAACACAAATAAGCAATTTGCTGCCAACAAGTGCTTCAGCATACATCAGATTCAAATCACAATAACTCTGTGAAAAATGAAGATACCATAATTGCAAAGCAGTTAAAAGAAAGCTTGTTCAATTCTTCAAAACTGCGTACCCTGGATATCTGCAATGAAATTTTGTAATCATAAATACACCCAGTCTTATAACTAGGTAACTTTCCCGTTCGGTGACTTTCTTCTCCAGCAGTAGCATAAATTAAAATCCGTTGGCTATTTTAACGTTATACGTAGAAGCCACATGAGTACAGATTCAAATTTTTAAAAAAAACTATCGTCGTGGAGGTTGATAAATCTTCGGGGGAAGCCGTGGACCCAACGCATTTTCAAGGACTGCGCAGTAGGTCGATCATACAGCATGGGAACCCCTCTGCTCGAGTGCCACTAAGGTAAAGGCAGGCTCAAACACGCGGAACGCCAGCACTAATGTCCGGAACGCGGGTGCCACATGCTTTCGGACCCAGTACAGTATATAGGTTCCGGGGGGCTATTCGAACTGCCAAATTATAATGTAAAGAGCGGGCCTTTCGCGTTCCGGGCGACGCTTGACAATTCGCGGGGCGCCTGGCGGGCGGATTGCGCACTCACGTGAGATTGAGTGGGCGATCAGGGCGAAGTTCCTCGGGAATAATGCGGTTGCGAGACTCGCAGATTTCCCCGGGGCGCAGCGATTTGAGGCCGTTTTATTTCCGCTGCGCTGATTTCCGCGCCGTGGCACAAACGAGGCTCCATTCCTCAAAGCAGAACCCGTGCGGCGCCGCTATCGGCAGGCTCTCCATCTGGCGCGGGGGGCTTTGTAGCCCCCGACCGGCGTCCTCTGGTAAACAATACCGCCTCAAGAGCGTCGGATTCGATACGGACGCGAAATGAGACGGAATTGCCGCGTTATTCAAGTCGCTGGGCTTGAGTGGAGCCCGGGCCAAACAAAAAAATAATAATGAGACAAATATATAAATAACCTGGAGAAGGAAACACTGCTGTTGCGAACCGGTTAGCGAGCATTGTAACCTCGTCACGCTGCCGACACGGGCAGCGGGTGGAACTACAACTCCGAAGGGCTCCACCCAACAACATATGAGGTATACTCGGGTTCCATGCGCCACGGAGACTTTCTTATACCAATCTTACGCGGGTTACAGCGCCACGTGTTTCTCTCAAGAGTCAAGACGCACGGGAGGATTTAAAAGAGCGATTTAAACTATTACTATTGTAATTTTTGGTACGGGGCACACGCGCAGTTATTCCGGCCAAATGCTTCGAACAGGGCTGCACTTGGTACACTGATGCATATTTTTGTATCTACTCACATATCAAGATTGATTTTGTTTGTAAGGCGTGAAGTTTCACACAATATTCAGGGATAAAAATGTCTGAAAACAGAAGCAAACTGTTATGTATGTATATGAGGTGAATCTGTTTTTTCTGAGCAAAGTCTGGGAAAAAAGGTGCACGTGGTACTAAAGGAACTGTGTCCACGAATTATGGTTTCCTGTCAGATTATGGTAACCATGATAAATAAAAAATCCTCTCCCACGTATCATTAAAAAATTCCTCCGAAATTGTGAGTGAGGCAATCTATAAAAATCTTGGGATGGTAATTACTACTGTACTGTACTGTGTTACTTTTCTCAGAGTAAATGACGGAATTATAAAACCAATATGGCGATATTGAAAGTTGAACAGACCACGGCCTCAACAGCTCTAAACAAAAAAGCATGCAAGGGAAGAACTCCATTGTACATCGAAACACCAAGAACGCTAAATCGGGGTTTATATTTTGGCACTCGGTCGATTTAAACCATGAAACTACACTATGGCTTAATGGTTTGCGTAAAAAAACTGTATTGAGAATAAGAAAAAAGAGGATTTCCGAGAACTAATCAACGAGCTTATTGCACGAAGAAACACTTTCCGTTCAGCATAATTCGAATATCGACACGATCAAGTGACGAGTTTCGATTTGTACTGCTCTTGCTGGTTTGTTTGTCACTGGCACACGGCCGTGTCACCTTGACACTCTTCAAAATGATTGATAGATTAATTGAGTTGATGACTAAGCGGTTGGATGTTACAATGTGCTGGTTCAGCAGGGTGATAAGCTGTCATTTTCTAATCAGATGGGAAATGTTTTGTCATGCTAGTTATCTGTCGTCACCAGGATGCTGTCCATAGTTCGTAATGCAGAATTTCTCGTGTTTCTGACATCGTTCAGCAGCTAACATTTTTTGTATCAAGTGCGTGGGTTTATCAGTTTCTAGCTTGATTTCCTGAAGATCTCAACACTCCAACATGACAAAATTTCCATGAAATTTGTTTTCGGTTTAAGCTTTATAGGAAGAGAGACGCTATTTTTTCTTCATGAATCGAGTTTCACGCGGGAAATATTTTTCAAATACTGCCAAATTTTCTGGTTCTTGAATTTCAATAGCATACAAATCGATCTTGAGAACGAGTTGAATAGTATTTGTCACGATCGTCAAGGTTGTCTTGTTTTTAAAGGATTAAAGTAATCTTCAAGCAGCCAATCGTCAGGCAACACTAATCGGAATTATTATTTTTTGTTTCGACTGAAGTCTGGGAATCATTGCAATTATTCCTCATTAATTTTACAGATTCAACGAAGGAAAGAGATCTGTGTGATGGTCACTTTCAAACCCGTCGCATGATTCATTCATGATTTTCAAAACTATTGGAAATGTATACTGTAACGACTTCAATCAGGTTCTCTCGGGCACTATAATTGTTTTATTGCTTTGCATTATGATTAAAACTACTCATTTTATTTTTTATATTGAAAAACACGCTCAAAATAGCACAAGGTATCGATAATCCGTCCAACTGAACGAGCTTGGGAGCCATTCCAGGAGCTCATGTCTCCAATGGCCTCTGGCCGATCGATATATGCATTGAGTCATACGTCAGTTACTTCTGCGGGCTGACGCTTTAACCAAATGGTTTTGTTTCTAGGTCGCTGGTTTTTATTTTTTTTATGGTGATCGTTGTCAGGCAGTGGCTTTGGTGCAGTTATAAAGAATCTTTGGCTTGATTCATGTTGCGTTTTGACTAATCACGTTGTAATCCACAACTTTAGTTCCATAGAATTGCGCGAGTTGCGCATTTTCCGGGGGAAATAAAATAAATGCATTCTGAGGCTATGGTGCATTATTCCTGGTTCTTGCTCCATGTCCCGCAACATTCAGTGAACGAAGTTTCTAGATTATTTTTTTCTCAGAATAATGCGGCTTTGTTGCAAGGGACGTGTAGTTATTCTTAAAGGTTGCCGCGTATCAAATCAAATATGTTTGCGATTCAAGCGAATGTCTGATTATGCCGTCGAACACTGACTTGAGGCAGCAACGAGCTTTACACATTATTGATGGATTGATCAATTCGCTGAAGGCTGAAACAAAGCATTACTGTTGCATGGAAACACCGCGGATTTCTGCGATTCGCAGATGCCTTGATGGATATTATTTCTGTTTTCTCTTGCAATCCTGTTATTATCCCAAATAAAATACTTCCACAGAAATGATCGCTGCCAATTTGATTCACTCTGCGAGGGACGCCTCAAAAGTATCATCGATGTTTCGGAATACTTTTCTTTTTGCAGCCAAATTTTTATCCCAGATTTCCTCAAACTGTTGCAAGATTGGAAAAAGATGCAATGAATTCTTCGGTCATAAATTGCCAGTCAATTGCCACTCTCTTGGACAACGTCATGTCAATTTTAGGAGAGTCTCTACAGTAATCCCCACTGGAAGAAAAATAATTGCTAAGATCACGTTTTATTCAGGGGAGAACGGTCGTGATATCTGAGTCATGATTAGATCCCTCAATGATTTTACTTTCTTGCTGCGGATTTTTTCATGCGAGCGTTTCATGTGAGTAAAATTTTTCCACAGTGATTGATGGATTTGATTTCAACTTGATTAGTTCTATCCCACGTGACCATACGTAAAAAGGCAGGTTTCTTTTGGAACTCATCCAATCAATGAACTCCAACAGTGCTGAATCCCTTAATACGTGAAATTACGGTCATTTTTTATCTATATCCGTCTAAGAATTCACAAAAAGAAGCAAAAGACCGACAGAACATGTGAAAGAATTCAGGGGTGAAAAAATGTACTCGATTCAACATCGTACCATGGTAACGAATTGCATGATTGTCTTATATATTATTTCGATCCTCGAACTTTCATTTTTTTCAGGAAATGCAACGAATTTTTTCATTAAAATATTCATTTCCCCAGTCCATCGGCTCCTGACATGCCTCGAAATCAGTGGCGCTCGAGTAAAGTATGATTCGGTCATATTAAAGCGTCTTTTGCATATCTAAATTCAGCAGTCATTACCTGAAAAAATGACATGATCATCATGTGTCGTCCATTAAGGAATTATAAAATACGTATCTGATAGGCAAAAGTTCAGAGCCAAGATAAAAAAGAAATCCAAGGTTGTCTGAATTTATTTCGCAAAGGCTTTGTTATCTAGATGCTTCTCCAAGCTTAATAGTTCAGAATAATGTTTCACACTTCAAGAAATTGATGATTACCTCTCCCTACATTGCTTCGAGAACCTTCTTTCTGTGAGCAAAAATTGAGGAATTGCTGAAGATCGGCGAAAAATTAGTTTTTCCACACTCAGCAAGCGGTGGCACTTTCGAAGCTCTGTTTCTTTTCATGAATTATTCTGAATTTCAGAAAACATAGGCCATTTCCGACTGTATAGAAAAGGTTTCAACAAAAATTTCAATTTTTTAAATTTGTTATCAAAAAAACAGGCTGAATTCTTTCCTAAAGAAGTCGAGACCGCTTTGAAGATGTTATGGAATCTTCGGAATATTTCGCGCAAACGAGATGAGCCTTTTCCTCGAATATCTTCAGTATTCTGAATTTTCCATGTGTGCTTTGGGTAATGAAACTGCGGCCTAGACCCGCGTAAATAAGTTAACCCAGTCCGTGAACCAGAACCGGGAAAATTGACCCTTTACGCTTCCCAGGAAAAAAGATTACCCCGGCTGACACAGGTTGAGGCACATGCACACGCACAAGCATGTGTCATTGTACTGATGATTGATTGATTGATTGACTGACTGACTGATGGTCGCGGGATGGGTGTTCAACGGTTCATGCAGCAACACAAGGGGGAAGTGGGGTGCGCGAGGGGGGCACGCTTAGCGGTGCAACCTGCGGCCGCGGGCACGGTAGCTGCGTGCAGCAACCAACCGCCGACCGCAGGCAGTCAAGTTCCACCTGGCCGCGCCGTCGGACAAGGCTGCAGCTGTGTCTACATAGAAGCGGGGCTGCAGTGACGGCGACGACGACGACGACGACGACGGCGACGGTCCACCCGGCATGAAAATGACACCCAGTGTTAGTCTCTCGTGGGTAATGAGAAGTCCCTCCGAGGCGCGGAGACTTGAACGCGCGTGTCGCGGAGATCAAACGCCGGCCGCTGTGTCAGAGTCGGGTCAGACTAGGTCGCTTTCCTCGTGAGGGTCTCGTCGAGATTTGTCGCCAGAGTGATTTTATTACCGGCGCAGTTTCCTGATGGTGCGCATCGTGTCCTGGAGAAATCAAATTGATCGAAGAAAAATTATTCAGATTTTTCGAATTCACGCCTTCCGCGGTCGTCGGTCTTGTCATATTGTCTCCCGCATTGACTAAACTAAAATTTAGCATCGGTATTTTTTTGGAGTGATTAATCTGTTCACGTGAAGAACAAAGTTTCTTCTAAACCAACACCCCGATCGCTTGGAGGTAGAATCTGGTGAGAATTGCGAAAACTGTCGACCAGTAAATTTCAAAACCTTTACATTAATGATCAGAAGATGCTGAATCAATCTGAATAAAATAATGTTGGCCCAAGGGAATCTGAGCTGTCAGAAAATGTTAAGCTGCATTGAGCCTAAGTGATAAGTTCCTTTAAATCTCTGTGAACATTTTCCAAATGTCCCATCGAATTTTTGAAAGAAATGAATTGCGGAATATATTCAATTTTTCACACGTGGGTAGTGTTGCTTGGGGTTTGAAATGCGTTTCAATTTTGGTCGCACATATACGGAAGATCGTAGTTTTACATTTAATTTAGAGTTTTAATCATATTTAATGCATCTAGACTTTTTACACCGTTCAAAATTACCGGATTTTTAGAAATGTTGTTCCAATCGAGAAAAACGGAACGAATAATTGAAGTAAAAATTGCCTACCCTCATTCTTCACCTATTGAATGAAGTAAATGTTCAGAAACTAGCAAGAGATTCGATTAGAGTTTTGCGTTGAAGAAAAGACAGTTAATTTGCTTGAAGTTGATAGACTAAATTGATCAAGTAAATATTTCCTATCTAGTTCAGGATGCCAGTGTAGCTACAAAAAGTATTTCAATCTTCCGAACAAGACCTTATTTTCGATTTTGATTTGGAGCGTAATTTCCCCTGATTCTAGCGGAAATAAGGATATCTCGACAGTTTGTCATCTTCAGGATGCCAGTGTAGCTACAAAAAGTATTTCAATCTTCCGAACAAGACCTTATTTTCGATTTTGATTTGGAGCGTAATTTCCCCTGATTCTAGCGGAAATAAGGATATCTCGACAGTTTGTCATCAAATTAGCGCAGAAGAGCAATGATGCGAAGTGCATTGGAAAGAAACATCTTTTCTCAGAAGGTCTCGACGTTTTCTTGGGATTTTCTGTTTTCGTAACTCAAGTGACTGCTTTTCCAAACTTGTTGGGTGCTTGTCAAAGTTTCGATTTTCTACAAACGACGATATTTCGATAGCGGTACACTTTCTTAAAGCCGAGTGACTAAATTCGATTCTTCGGGAAAATATCAGTTTCAACGCCTGCAAATGTTGAAACGAATGTGATTACTTCAATTAATTTGCGGTGAGAGAAAAAAGTTTTTACGAAGTAGTTCGCCTGGCGAGAATATTGCACTGCCTTACTGCCGTCGGATGGTCCTCAAAGACCCTAAAAGCGTTGGTTAGAATTCGTTATAGGCAGAAAGAGACAGACAGAAACTCTCAGACGGAAGACATTCCGGAAGTTCAAAGGCGGCAGGAAAAGCAAATCTAACAAGAATAAAAAGTTCGAGTTGCGTTGAGCGAAAAAAAAGAGGTCTACCGGAGTCGCTTGATCGACCGACCCGTTTTTACTTTGCGTAGATGATGCACTAGAATTTTCCCGTTTAAATAACATTCACTTAATCCTTATTTGGTAAACCAAAGGCTCAGGATTAAATTTATATCCTGGAAGCGTTGAGAGAAACCGCAGAGTGGAGATTATGTTCAATAGTTAGCTAGGCTTTTCCTGCCCTGAACAAGATGTGTTATCGATCTCAGGAATTCTGATGATCGTCTTCAAAGCATTCCAAGGGCTTCAACGTTTCTGTCGTTCATTGAGTTATACAATCTATATCCCAATAAAGGATGAGGCTTGAAAAGAGTGAGACCAACATTTTTTTGTGCCCTGCATTTGTTTGCCTGCATAAAATATGTCGACGGAAATCATATGGATTAGGAAGCACTAGATTTTCCTAATGAGTCAGCTCGATCAAAAATGTATTGACCAACTAAAATTGTTTAAAAATCGCACAAGACTGCCCACCAAAATAAATAATTAATCGCGTCGAAAGATTTTATTCTTTGCCAAAATAGGATCATATATTGAACAACTTTGGTTTCCGTGGTCAATTCGAGAAATCGTGACGCCTTCAGCATATGCAATTATGCAGGTATCTCTTGTACTTCTCGTCGAAAAGAAAATGGTTAAAAAATTCAGCCCCATATTTCACATAGTTGAAGTGGAGTAGCAGGAAAATACTTCGAAATTAGGGCCCGGTGTGACGTGTTCATTTATTTTTGATTCATTGAATTTAATCAGCGTTGCGAATTTGAGGACAATTTTCTTACTTGAAGGAGGGAAAACCAGCTTTCCAGAAATTTTTAAAACGTTATGCCTGGAAACATTCATTGAATCGATTTTTGATTATTTCAAGCGAATGTTTTCCTGAGTCAGAATCCAGAAATTTTTGAAGAAAAATACAGTCTTGAACTCCTTGTATAATTTTAATTATCCCTTCGTTCGAGCGTTATAAATGACCCCGATGTTGCTCTTTCTTTGTAATGGGAAAGTGTCAGTACTTTTGCGTATGTTTGCATCCATGCATTGCAAAAGAGGTTACGTCTGATTCCCATGAGACACAGAAATCGACCAGGAAAAGTTTTCTGCAGACAATGCACCCAGACATTTATCATCAGAAAAGTTGCATCATTCTCAGCACGTCAGCTTTTTTCTCACAGTCTTTCCGGCACTGATTTTTCAACAGGTTTCGCTGAGTTGGTCTAAAACTTTGTTTCTTTATAATGCATTCGTTTCGATGGACCATGACATTCGTGTCAACAGGACGTCTGGAATTTCAGTGAGATAATAAGGATGTGATGCGTACGTTGCCCATTCTCGTACATAACGTATTTTATTCAAATTCGCGGAGCTTTTTTCAAAATATATACTTGTACGCTTGCAAAAACCAGTGTGCATCTTAAATGTTAGGCCTTTTTGTAATTATCAATGATCACTTTCCATGGCGTCATCGATTGACTGCGGCTGAGAGCATGATGGCTTAAGACCGAGGCAATCTTTTGAATACGAAGAATATTTGAATTCAGTTTGAAATATATTTTAGAGTTGTAATTTTGATTCCTTCTCGCATTGTTTTTAGAGATTCATCTTCCCACTGCACTGAATTATAATCAAAAATCCGCTGAAATAATTCAGAAATTAATGCTATGAAAGCCCGTCTCACGACGAAAGACAACTTATTTTTATTCGCGAGATTTAAAAAAAACGAAAATTTGCGTTTCACCAATGAAAAAATATATACTCAAATATGAAACGCTATTAACTGCATATACGGGGTGCTTTCTGGCCGAAAAAATGTGAAATGAATGCGACAAAAACTTCAAATTCATCAGAATCTTAAGATTCCATTCATTTTATTGATGCTTCATATACCAACTTAACGTACTCGAACATTTCCATAGGAATAAGAACTGCGTTTGTTGTCGCTGCAACCATAAATTAGCAGTAGGATTCGAGGTAAACTCCATGAAATACAGTATTAGACAGGCCGGAATTTTCCCAGCGCGAGTCTGTTCAGTGGAAGTTTAGCCTCAAATTCGAATAAACACGATACTGATGCTTGATTTGAAAATTTGGTTGACTTATAGGCATGGTGCGTGCAACGCGAGTTGTTGTGGAAGTGACGGCCGGGTTCGGCATGTGACGAACATGTGGGAATCTGTGGTAAAACTACGGCGCGGAGCGGCGGAAAGAACCGTAGCCGCGCTAGGACGGTGCTGCTGCGCTGTTGGCCTGCTTTTCCTTGCCACTCAAGGTAAACCCGAAATTTTCACTCACAGAAATTCCTTTTTTTATTTCAAAAATAAAAGCATTCCAAGCTGTCGATCTCAAAAATCGCGATTTGATGAAAAATTAAAAATAAACGGCTGAAGTTGATGCAGTGTTCCTGTCACACGGACAATGCAACTGCTGATCGGCGTAGAGAAATCTTTGAAATATCTGAATGTACCTGAAAATATTTTGAAAATAGAAAAACCTTGAAAATTATTGAAAATCATCATCACCTGGGTCAGTAGACTATACAGAACTATGATAAAGCTTTCGACTTTGGAAGCACGCATTGTTCCATTACATTTAATTTAAATAAACACACAAAACGAACATATTTTCTTTTTAAACCCTCAATAGTTCGGGATTTTTCATGGGTTACCGTTTTGCTTGCATTTTACCAGAGCAAGAGTGAATTGTGAATATGTTTGTGCTTTCTGTTTTTAAATGATCAAAAATATTTCTAAACTTCCCGCCATTCTAAAATCACAAGATGATTGGGAATCACTGCAAGTGTTTTTCCATCATCATCAGATGTAATTAAGATCAGCATCAGCGAAAATTGCCGAAGTGCTCGGGGAACTGAGGTCTATAAATACACAGAACCTTGAAATCATCCCTAAAAAATAAAGAAAATAAGAAATCTTGACGCAAATGAAAGTAAATTATTTTATTATTCTTTAATGGAGCATCAGATAGATCATGGCTTACGAGTCCGCCATTAACTTACGAGCTGTATGTTCAATAGTTAGCTAGGCTTTTCCTGCCCTGAACAAGATGTGTTATCGATCTCAGGAATTCTGATGATCGTCTTCAAAGCATTCCAAGGGCTTCAACGTTTCTGTCGTTCATTGAGTTATACAAGCTATATCCCAATAAAGGATGAGGCTTGAAAAGAGTGAGACCAGCATTTTTTCGTGCCCTGCGTTTGTTTGCCTGCATAAAATATGTCGACGGAAATCATATGGATTAGGAAGCACTAGATTTTCCTAATGAGTCAGCTCGATTAAAAATTTATTGACAACTGAAATTATTTCAAGAATCGCACAAGAGTGTCCACCAAAAGAAATAATTAATCGCGTCGAAAGATTTTATTCTTCGCCAAAATAGGATCATATATTGAACAACTTTGGTTTCCGTGGTCAGTTCGAGAAATCGTGACGCCTTCAGCATATGCAATTATGCAGGTATCTCTTGTACTTCTCATCGAAAAGAAAATGGTTAAAAAATTCAGCCCCATATTTCACATAGTTGAAGTGGAGTAGCAGGAAAATACTTCGAAATTAGGGCCCGGTGTGACGTGTTCATTTATTTTTGATTCGGTGAATTTAATCAGCGTTGCGAATTTGAGGACAATTTTCTTACTTGAAGGAGGGAAAACCAGCTTTCCAGAAATTTTTAAAACGTTATGCCTGGAAACATTCATTGAATCGATTTTTGATTATTTCAAGCGAATGTTTTCCTGAGTCAGAATCCAGAAATTTTTGAAGAAAAATACAGTCTTGAACTCCTTGTATAATTTTAATTATCCCTTCGTTCGAGCGTTATAAATGACCCCGATGTTGCTCTTTCTTTGTAATGGGAAAGTGTCAGTACTTTTGCGTATGTTTGCATCCATGCATTGCAAAAGAGGTTACGTCTGATTCCCATGAGACACAGAAATCGACCAGGAAAAGTTTTCTGCAGACAATGCACCCAGACATTTATCATCAGAAAAGTTGCATCATTCTCAGCACGTCAGCTTTTTTCTCACAGTCTTTCCGGCACTGATTTTTCAACAGGTTTCGCTGAGTTGGTCTAAAACTTTGTTTCTTTATAATGCATTCGTTTCGATGGACCATGACATTCGTGTCAACAGGACGTCTGGAATTTCAGTGAGATAATAAGGATGTGATGCGTACGTTGCCCATTCTCGTACATAACGTATTTTATTCAAATTCGCGGAGCTTTTTTCAAAATATATACTTGTACGCTTGCAAAAACCAGTGTGCATCTTAAATGTTAGGCCTTTTTGTAATTATCAATGATCACTTTCCATGGCGTCATCGATTGACTGCGGCTGAGAGCATGATGGCTTAAGACCGAGGCAATCTTTTGAATACGAAGAATATTTGAATTCAGTTTGAAATATATTTTAGAGTTGTAATTTTGATTCCTTCTCGCATTGTTTTTAGAGATTCATCTTCCCACTGCACTGAATTATAATCAAAAATCCGCTGAAATAATTCAGAAATTAATGCTATGAAAGCCCGTCTCACGACGAAAGACAACTTATTTTTATTCGCGAGATTTAAAAAAAACGAAAATTTGCGTTTCACCAATGAAAAAATATATACTCAAATATGAAACGCTATTAACTGCATATACGGGGTGCTTTCTGGCCGAAAAAATGTGAAATGAATGCGACAAAAACTTCAAATTCATCAGAATCTTAAGATTCCATTCATTTTATTGATGCTTCATATACCAACTTAACGTACTCGAACATTTCCATAGGAATAAGAACTGCGTTTGTTGTCGCTGCAACCATAAATTAGCAGTAGGATTCGAGGTAAACTCCATGAAATACAGTATTAGACAGGCCGGAATTTTCCCAGCGCGAGTCTGTTCAGTGGAAGTTTAGCCTCAAATTCGAATAAACACGATACTGATGCTTGATTTGAAAATTTGGTTGACTTATAGGCATGGTGCGTGCAACGCGAGTTGTTGTGGAAGTGACGGCCGGGTTCGGCATGTGACGAACATGTGGGAATCTGTGGTAAAACTACGGCGCGGAGCGGCGGAAAGAACCGTAGCCGCGCTAGGACGGTGCTGCTGCGCTGTTGGCCTGCTTTTCCTTGCCACTCAAGGTAAACCCGAAATTTTCACTCACAGAAATTCCTTTTTTTATTTCAAAAATAAAAGCATTCCAAGCTGTCGATCTCAAAAATCGCGATTTGATGAAAAATTAAAAATAAACGGCTGAAGTTGATGCAGTGTTCCTGTCACACGGACAATGCAACTGCTGATCGGCGTAGAGAAATCTTTGAAATATCTGAATGTACCTGAAAATATTTTGAAAATAGAAAAACCTTGAAAATTATTGAAAATCATCATCACCTGGGTCAGTAGACTATACAGAACTATGATAAAGCTTTCGACTTTGGAAGCACGCATTGTTCCATTACATTTAATTTAAATAAACACACAAAACGAACATATTTTCTTTTTAAACCCTCAATAGTTCGGGATTTTTCATGGGTTACCGTTTTGCTTGCATTTTACCAGAGCAAGAGTGAATTGTGAATATGTTTGTGCTTTCTGTTTTTAAATGATCAAAAATATTTCTAAACTTCCCGCCATTCTAAAATCACAAGATGATTGGGAATCACTGCAAGTGTTTTTCCATCATCATCAGATGTAATTAAGATCAGCATCAGCGAAAATTGCCGAAGTGCTCGGGGAACTGAGGTCTATAAATACACAGAACCTTGAAATCATCCCTAAAAAATAAAGAAAATAAGAAATCTTGACGCAAATGAAAGTAAATTATTTTATTATTCTTTAATGGAGCATCAGATAGATCATGGCTTACGAGTCCGCCATTAACTTACGAGCTGCAGTGATGCCTGTATTCGAACGTTTAATTTAGTCGCGAGTCCCGAGGACAGAATATTCAATTTTTTTCCAGAATGTCAATTAATTTTTTCTCGCTGTTTCAATGCCTGTTTTGGGTCTCGGCATTCATTGCCCTTCATTGTCTCGGCACCGGATATCTGTTGTCGATTCCCCGGCGCCAAATGTTTCCCGCAATAACTAAGTCAAAATATTGGATTTGTGCGTAGGTGCTTTAGGCCCTCGGCACACTGCTGGTCTTCCGATCATGACCCACGTGAGAAATGGGAAATGGAATCAGCAGGAATGGGCAGTTTTTTCAAAAATTCGCGACCTCTTGGGGAAGATTGCACCAAAAAAAAGAGAGAACCCATTTTAAATTGGTCACTCAATTTTCCCTTTTGGGTTTTCCAACTCAATTTTTGGATTAAAAAAAAAGTCCGTGCGCAACGGAGGAAATATGTACCTTCTTGAAGTAATCATCACATGCACCACCGAGATGAAAAGATACCACACCATCGCCTATTGATTTGGAGTTCCAGGGATTGTTGACCGTTTTCTTGATTTTGCTGATTTCGAAATATGGCGGCGTTTACGCACCTCATATACTCCTATGCTACCTGTGCAACTAACTGGAATCCACTGAATTATTTTGCCAATTATCCAGAATTTTCCGGGAAAGATTTCATTCAGATTTTTCCTGACGGAGGGCTATCCTCTTTCCTGAACCCTTGAAGAGACCTCATGACTTTCTTGAGTCCGATTCTTGGTGAAATTTACCCATCCCAGAGAAAGTTTACTTTTTCTGGGAAAATAAATCCGGTGAACCACTAACTGTTGATGATCTCCAGTGCCACGGAACCACCAACTCAAATCGAGTACTGTACATTAATTTGTAAATATTTTACTTTTTCCATGAAAGATGCATTCAGATTTCACTGACCGAGGGTTTGTCTCCTTCCTGAAATTTAGGAGAGACATAATTCTCGTGAATCCTCTTTTTGTTAAAAGTTACGAATCTCAGAGAAAACCTACCTTTTCTGGGAAAATCCCGTGAACCATCAGTGGTGGTATCAGTGCCACGGAATTAAAAACTCAAATCGTCAATCATTTTAAAAATTATTGAAAATATTCACTAAGAGATGAATTCAGGCTTTCACTGACCGAAAGTGTTTCTCCTTCCTGAACTCTCGGAGAGACCTCGTTGTTCTCTTTAATCCACTTCTCGTTGAAAGTTACCCATCGTCAATCATTTTGTAAATTATTGAAAATATTCACTAAGAGATGAATTCAGGCTTTCACTGACCGAAGGTGTTTCTCCTTCCTGAACTCTCGGAGAGACCTCGTTGTTCTTTTTAATCCACTTGTCGTTGAAAGTTACCCATCCCAGAGAAAGTCTACCTTTTCTGGGAAAAACCCGTGGACCATCAGTCGTGGTACCAGTGCCAAGGAACCACCGGTCGCCAAAGCCCCGAGCCAGTCCGAGGGAGACGGACGCGTGTCACGGGCCAGTGCGCGGATCGAGGGCGACAGGTGTGCAGATACCGATCGATCGCGATCACCCATACATATACGGTATATTTATATATATATATACTGTATATATATATACCAACCGCGATGCATGATCTGCCACGCGGTTTTCCTTTTTTTTTCACCCCCTGGCACTCTCGTGTCCAGTGTGGTGTCAACCCCGCTGTTGCTTTTGCGATTTTCTCCCGAATAAACAGAGTCACAACAAATCCGATTTCCACGTGTATATAGGTAATGTCAGGTTTCGTTTCCCGACCACCTGTTCTTGATCCACGGATCAGAAGCCCGACTCGAAACTCAATCCAAGTTGCGATTAATGAATGCGAGTGAGTGGTTGTGATCAGTGAACACACACTTGGCGTATTCTTCGGTGGGCATTCTTTTCTTTTATTGATTTGTGCTAATTTCAGGACATGTCGTCGTTTTCGGCCCGAAATAACTCGCAGCCTTCTCGGAACACTCGCCCAGTGAAAAAAATCACTTCCCGGAAATGAGAAAACATGAAAAGGTGGATTTTCGAAAAGAAAAAAGCTGAATAAGAAAATTATTATGTTTCCTACATGGACTAATGCCCTGTGATTCCCTTTTCCCATTTATCGTCTCCTTGGAATCATATGCAGTACTGTGCTTCACAGCATAGAAAGTTGAACCTCAGCCAAGTTCAGCATACATTCCAAGACAAAACCATGCGGTAAAAGGTTGTTTTTGGAGAGAATACTGAGATTTTTTCCTTTTGATGAACAGCGACTGCAGCTGGAAGTCACTCAGGTGCGCGAAATCGCATACAATTTTTGTTGTTGAAAATACTGCGCCTGTACTTTTCAGTAGTTTAATTTTGTGTAACAGGATGCATCAAATCAGTGGATGCATTCAGGGCATGGAGTTTCTCCGGTTGACCTTGTTTGGCTCTTTCGTCACACCAGAGAATTTTTGTGAACATCAGTAGATGCGTTTGGGTGTTCTTTATGATAGGATACCTTTGTAATGCGAAGTATTGTGTCTCACCTTTAAAATATCTTCATGTCTTGGAGAACTTGGGACAGGAAAAAGTTTCTTTGCCAGCATTTTCATTCCTCAGGAAATTTTTTTTCTGGAGACACGCAGAAGCCATGTGGGGAGAAAATCGCTGGAGGCGGTTCAGTGATTATGCTGAAAATTCTCATTCGGGAATTTTTATGATCTCCATTCAAAAGGGAAAAATATCACATATAGTACTGTTATCTCAAACAAATCGATGGCGGACCCATGGTACAGGAAAAGTGCGCTGGGGATTGCGATACTACCAGCAAGAAAAAGCTACACGAAAAGGCAAATTCTCAAATTTTCGGAATTTTTATAGAGCTAGGTGGTAACCATGATTATGTAACAAGCTTTGGTCACAAAATACTCTCATATTCATGCAAATAACTCTTGCCTACAAAATGTCAAATGCCAGCGAACCACGAGTGGAAAGCACGCTTTTACTAGTCCTTTTGTGAAATTACGCAGTTTTGCTCATTTATGCGCTCGTCCGTGACCTGATGTCATTAATAACTTATGTATACACGCTTCCCGGAATTACCTCGTCCTTCAACTTCAGCTCTTAACCTGCGCAAAGGAATAAATTATTTTAACAAGTATCCTTTGTACCTTTCGAAGAATAACTGAGGAGTGTGACGGAATTCCTCCTCAAAGCCTCCAACTGCTTGACCTTGATTCACCTGTTCCGGCGGAAGAAAAAAGGTCTCAATATTCTTCGCTTAGTTGATGGAGGTTGAACTCTTCCTAGTCGAATCGATCTCGCCTTTCCTCCATTGCTTCACGGCCGCTATCAATCAACACGCAAGGAGTTTTTCTATAACTTTCAGGCAACGAGAATCATCCTCATTTCGGTATAAAATATGCGAGGTGAATTTTTCGTCCGGCGAATATCAAAATCGGTCATTTTTTGTATTCTCCCCACGTTTTCAGGGTCTTCGATAATTGATGGGGATACTTATCGTAAATTGCTATGTTTTTGCACGACGAGCTTCAATAATTTTCTTTTTCTCTTTGCGTGACTGGCATCGGTTTTCTGTTCGCCAAACATGCGTGGGGAGAATCAAGAAGTTGAAAAGTTTCCTACGCGCCATCATAAAGTCCAACAAAATTAGCTCAGTGGAAAGACTTTATACAGGCCGATAGCCAAATTCTACTTCGAGATACGTAGATGGCATATCTGAGACAGGAATTCAGGTAAAAACTGCTTTATCGAATACAAATTTAAAGACTTCTATTTAGTTGGACATAACTAAAAAAGAAACAATGAATACGGGAAATGGGCAGAAAGTTCGGTAAATTTGTCGCTTTCTGAAATTTTCATCCCGAAACTGCCTTGAATCAATTGAAGACACTACTTCAATTTACAGAATTTTAATTATTGAGCGCGACCGCAGTTTGAACTTCAGAAGTAAAAAAGTTTTCATCGATGATATCCTTACAAGGAACAAAGAAAATTACAAGAGACTTTGTCTTCGCGTCAGTTTCAAAGAATAGACACATTTTTATAATACAAGGGGGCTCAAGAAGTGAACATGTCACTGCTTTTGCTGATCAACGTTGTACCTAAATGTCGGAGGAACTTCAAAATAAGCAATCCTCTGATTTATAGGAATTAGGAAAGTAACTTTGAAAGACTGTAAAAACTCTTAAAAAATCGTTCTTCTGTTGTTTATGCACAACCTTTATTTGAAGTTTCTAAGCCAGTTGGAGTCTGAATACAATGTCTGGAATTCATGCAACAAGGATACAATATAACTTTTGCCCGGTTCGCTAAAAGAATAAACGGGCATATTCCGAATGCTCTAAAAGGACCAAAATATCAGCAAATTTTGTTGGTGCCTCATGAATCCTGAGCCTTTTGAGTCGCTTAATTTTCTTTTGGATCACGGGTAATCGAGGTTCATTCATTTGTTGAATTTGCTGATTGGTGCACATGCTTCAATCATCCGAGAAATGCCAAATACATGCTTTCTGTGCATTGTAGAAGAAACTTGGATCTTCTTGAGGAAGAGAGGATTATTTTGTCACGCGAGATTCGGAGCAGTCGCCTCAAGAACCAAATGGGCTCAGAATAGACAGAAAATGCGAGGAAGACCCATCAAGGAGGCACGGAAACCCGGCGTGCAAAATTTATGACTCGCCCCTCGCGGATTCGCGACGCATCCGAACCCGTGCATCGATCGCAATCGCTGCGGCGGCCGACGGCGGCGGCGGCGGCAACAATCAGCCACGATCGCGATAATGGCAACTGACATTGTCGTCGTCGTCGTCGTCGTCGTCGTCGCCGGTCCGCCGACGTTGCTTCGCACAAGTCGTCGGCCGCACGTTTATTCCCGACCTCGCTACTGACCTCGTTTCCGCCCGACTTACCGACATTGCAACTCAGTCGCGCTTCCTTCCGCTTCGCTCACCTAGCAGCCGCGCTGCCTTGCGCCTAATGGCACCTGCCCGATGCGTG